GGGGCCGCGCTTCTCCCGCGGCGTGTTTGTGTCGCCTTTTTCTGCCCTGCCCCTTTCGGCTCACGGAACCCAAAACAAGGCGGCGAGGAGCAGCCTCCTGGGTAGTCGGCTCTCGACCGCGGGCGACAGCGCGCCGAGGACGACGGAGTTCCCTCACTTCTCCTCCCTCCCCTTAGAGATCCGGGCCAATCAGCGGAGGCGTCCTAACTGCGCAGCCGCAACGAGCCTGCGCCGGCAAGGCTGGCAGCGGCTCAAGTGCCTCGCAGCCCGGAAGCGGGAGTGCGCCTCTCTTTCCGTACTTCAGTGGGAGGCTCTGCGCAGTCGCACCAGAGCCCCGCCCACCCTGTCAATACTCTTACTTCCTGATCGCTCCTAATTGCCGAGGCACCCTAGGTCTTGCTTGACGTCCTCACCTCCTTATTCCTTCACCGCCTCTTCTGAGAGTGATAAACGAAGACAAGTCGGAGGGCTGGCGGGTGCACAGCAGCTGTTTTCGTGGCTCGTAGGCAAAGGGCTTTCCAGTACCAAGCAACGTCCGGGCCTCTTTCTCTGGGATTAAACTTCTACCCGGCAACAGACGCGCCAACCCCGCCTTCCGCCTCTCTGATTGGCCATCTTGAATCGTAGTCTGTTGCTCTGATTGGTCGTCTGTTATCGTGCGGCTTTTTTTCCTATTGGAGAAGTGGCCGGGAATTTTTTTTTTTCCGGGTTGGTCCGCTGGGGAGGCGGGGTCGTTTCTGCGGGATTACTTTTCTGGACTCATTTCTGATTGGGTGATGTGACGCAATGCGCGCGCCCCGTTAGACGCCAAACTGCTACCAGGCCGGGTCTTTTCCTGTCCGTGCGCCGGCCCTTAAACTGAATCGCAGGAGGAGACTTCCGGGCTTGGGCCACTGCAGTAGTGCGGCTGTTGGGCTTGCCAGTGCACACGACCTCTTCTGCCTTGTCAGCGGAACAGGGGCTCAGGCCTCATTCACTTCGCTCCTTCAGTTAACAGCAGAGACATCGACAAATGCTTGTTGAATAAAGAGAAATAAAGAGTTGGGAAGGAGCGAAACCTTTTTGACCTGTTTCAGTTGTTCCCGCCTACTCCATCTTCTTCCAGGTCAGGGGGTGTGCCTCAGAGAAAGAAGGGAAAGAATTTTTAGCTGGGCCTTTGAATTTTCCTAGAGTCTATACTCACGCCAGAATCTCTTCTTTTGAAAATCATCATTTGGTCTATGGCTTCATTACCTCCACATTATTCCTTTTTTTGCGGAACTTGTGGAAACTGAAAAGAGGAGGGTCAATAGGACTGTAGTCCTATCAAACATCAAAGCTCAAATCCTCCTGAAGGAGAGTAATTTTCTGCTACTTTGTAGTAGACGTCCCAAAGCAATAATTTTGATCCCAAAACCACAGTCTCAGTTGATCCTTCATTTAACAATTCTAAGAGTCATGGAGAAGCGCCTACAGGAGGCTCAGCTATTCAAGGAGGAAGGGAACCAACGCTACCGAGAAGGGAAGTACCGAGATGCTGTGAGTAGGTACCACCGAGCTCTTCTTCAGCTGCGGGGCTTGGATCCAAGTCTGCCTTCCCCGATACCCAGTCTAGGACCTGAGGGCCCAGCTCTCACGCCGGAGCAAGAAAACATACTGCACACCACTCAGACAGACTGCTACAACAACCTAGCTGGTAAGAGCAGGGCTGGAGGGTGGGTAGAAGAACATCAAGACTTGACCATCCAGCAAAGCAGAGGCTGCACACGCCTTTAATCTCAAGTACTCGGGAGGCAGAGGCAGGTGAATCACTGAGTTCGAGACCAGAGTGGTCTACAGACTGAGTTCCAGGATAGGCAGGGCTACACAGAGAAACCCTGTCTCAAAAAACAAAGCAAAACAAACAAAAAAGAGACTATCAAACCCTGTGAACACTGAAAAAAATACATTCTTCTTCGCTGTCATCTGGTTATTCGGCAATGAATTGAAACCTATTTCCAATCAGTAGAGAACTCTCATCTGGAGAGTTTGTAAAAATCCAACCTCTTAGGCCCTAACTCCAGAATCTTTGATCTAGTAGATCTAGGGTGGGACCGCCAATTGATTTATCTGGAGGAATGTTGCTAACTTTAGAACATTTTGCCTTCTGTAGAGAAAAAGTGCTTTTGTCTAAAGGAAATTTAACATTTGGGAAACACGTTACTGGCTCTAGATAGTGTAGATCAATTGTGCTTGATTGTATAATTTTTTGTAGAAATCAAGGATACTAGATAATTAGTATCTTCCATTTCCCTATGGCTTTGTATGAAGATAGAACAGTTCTGCTAGGTATAACCTTAACTGATAAGAGACCTTTTAGTCTTTTGTATGATAGACAAATCAAGCTTAGAACTAATTAACTTAATTTATAGTAGAGTAAGAAATTCTAACAATGCAAACAGAGACTATATATATTATCAGGAGCTGTTATGTTTCCTACTGGTTGCTTTTTAAAAATTGTTTTAATTTTTCTTGAGTCTCATTATGTAGCCCAGCCTGGCCTGAAACTCACTTTGTAGACCAAGCTGGCTCCAAACTCCTGGCAGTCTTTATGCCTCTGGCTCCCAAGTGCTAAGATTATAGGTGTCAGCCTCCACATCTGGCTGCTTATTTTATAAATATCTTTGTGGACGGGTGGTGGTGGTGCACATCTGTAATCCCAGCACTTGGGAGGCAGAGGCAGGAGGATCTCTGTGAGTTCAAGGCCCGCCTGGTCTGCAGAGCGAGTTCCAAGACAGGCTCCAAAGCTACACAGAGAAATCCTGTCTCGAAAAACCAAGTGTGTGTGCGTGTGTATGTGTGTGTGTGTATGCATATCTTTGTCATCTCTGTGAGTTTGTGACCAGCCCAGCCAGAGCTTCATAGAGACCCTATCTCAAACAAACAAACAAGCGAATACACATACATATATACACATACATATAAAAATAAAACACTCTTATATGTATAAACTTAAATATGTATACACACATATATATATTGCATGCAAATATACATGTAGTGTTTGAGTGGAGCTGTGGAACTCAGGGCCTTGCACATGCTAACCAAAAACTGTGCCACCAATCTACAATATCAGCACTAAAAATTTTTGAAATTACAATACTCCTTAGTTATGATAAAAGCTAAGGGTATTTTTCCCAGTATGTCCAGCAATAATTTTGGGACTCAAATAATAGTAATTATGGTGGTGTTTTATTTGTTTCTTCTTGCAACAACGTCTGTGTAGCTCTGGGTAGCCTAGCTGACCTTGAATTTGCCTGCCTCTGCCTGCCTCCAGAGTGCATGAACTAAAGGCATTCATAGCCCATCCCCTAACAGTAACTGTTTTAACTTAACTCTGATCAACAGGTATTAAATGCTGAGGATTAGCAGTATAACACTACAGATAACAATCCCTATATTCATGAAACAAAGGAAATAACATGGTATATCAGACAGTAAGTACTGCAGAAGAGATTAAGTGAGATGGCTTGGTGCTTTATATCTGTAATCCCAGCACTGGGGAGGTCCAAGTAGAAGAGTGGCTTCAAGTCTGAGGTACAGGCTAGCCTGGGATATATGGTAAGACTCTGTCTCAAACAAGTAAGAATAAACTGGAAAATGGAAGTAGTTAGAGTCCTGAGATGTTCGATTTAAGAAAGGATGACTCTATAGGATTCATAGATGTGACATTTATGACATGATCTATGTTAAGGGTCATAATTCTTCCAGATTAGTCTAAGGAAACTAGAATTAATCTGGGAACAAGTAGATTTAAAATTATACCCCAGCAAACAATCTTAATTCCCAGAGCTTAAATTCTTATTGCAGGATACTAGCATTATTTAATCATTGCTTGATCTCAGTTGCTACCCCTGTGAAGATCAGTCAAGTCTTATATCCTAGTGTACTTTCCCTAAGCTGCTAAAATCCTAGCTCATAGCTGGGGACCAAAGGTATAGTGGGACAATAGGATTTAGTGCTTTATATCTTATCTTGTATCACTTACTAAGCTGCTAAATTCAGATCCCTCTCTAAGCTCAAAAATCTCTGTCTTCTAAAGTCTATAAAAGTAATTTCCTCTGTTTTGTGGGTTGTTGTTGGGTGTCCTACCTAACCAAGCCCCCATCCCCTAATGGCCAATATTACAGAAAGGTATTTCTCTTGAAATCAGTTTCCATATATCCCCCATCAAACTGGGGGGTATTAGAGTAAATAAGGCTAGAAAAATGACCCAATAATTAGGAACACTGGCTACTCCAGCAGAGGATCGGAGCTTAATTCCCAGTACCTACATGGTGATTTACAGCCATTTCTAACTCTAGTCCCAAGGGATACAACACCCCCTTTCTCACCTCCTCAGGCACCAGGCGCACATATGGTTCACATACCTAAATACAGACAAAACACTCATACACATAAGAATACATATATCATTTAAAAATAATCATCAAGGTACCTTACTTGTTCTTCTTAGTACTTAGTTTAATGTTTGAGCATAGTTAGTGATAGGTATATAGTTATCAGTTGAAGTACTGAAGCTAAAATGCTGGATTAATTGACCTGTGGAGAATACCTTGTGAAAAGCCTGCTTGGTGTGGGGGTATTGTAGCAGGGATGCAAGTATGGTCCAAGCTTGTTCTTGACTCCATTATACCTGAATCAATGATCTGAGCATGATTTAACTTTAATATATCTATTCCAGTAGCTGTGAAATAGGGTATATCTTTCCCTTTCTTTTTTAACTTAGAAAATATTTATTTGTTTGGTTTTTGGGGGGGCGGGGGTTCAAGACAGGTTTTTTTCTGTATAGCCCTGGCTGTCCTGGAACTCATTCTGTAGACCAGGCTAGCCTCGAACTCAGATATCCACCTGCCCCTGCTTCCTGAGTGCTGGACTTAAGGTGTGTGCCACCACACCCAACTATTTATTTTTAATAATAATGTGTATAATTAATAATGTGTATGTGTTTATGTGGGTATGTGTATATGTCAAGGCAGATGCCTTTGATGTCCAGAAGAAAGCATCAAATTCTCTGGAGTTTTAGTTGCAGGTGGTTGTGAACCATCTAGTGTGGGTGCTTGAAACCAAACTTGGGTCCTCTGCAAGAGCTCTTAACCACTGAGCCATCACTCCACCATTCCAGTCATTTCTCTCCCACTAGGTCCCACAGCTGTTCAGTCCCAAAGAAACACACAGAAGTCTACATTAATTATAAACTGGCTGACTTAATAGCTCAGGCTTTATTAACTAATACTCATATCTTAAATTAGCCCATAATTCTTGTCTGTGCTAGCCACATGGCTTGGTACCTTTTATCAGTGAGGCATTCTCACCTTGCTTCCTCTTGGTCTGGGTGATGACTGCAGACTGAACTTTTCCTCTTCCCAGAATTCTCCTGTTCTGGATGCCTCGCCTATACTTCCTGCCTGGCTACTGGCCAATCATCATTGTATTAAACAACTGACAAATCTTTACAGGGTACAAGATCATTGTCCCACAACACATCTCCTTTACATTTATTTTTGGTGGTGTTGGGGACTGAACTCAAGAGTCTCAGTATGCCAGGCAATCAATCAGTCTGCTAAGCTAAAACCCTTCTTTAAGGCAGAACACTGTTTTGAACATTGCTTCCTAACCAAGATTTATTCTGGGTTCCATTAATCAGCCAAGAAAATAGTGTATTAATATTATATGATGTTGTTGGAAATGAGATTGGCATGGTGGCACAGAACTGTAATCCCAGTACTGGAAGCCTGAGGCAGGAAGAACAATAGGAGTTTGGGGCTATACTGGAGTTTCAGGACTGCCTGAGCTACAAAGTGAGAACTTGATGGTCTTGATGGTCTCAGTACTACTGCTGTGTAGACACAACATGACCACTCTTAAAAAGCATTTTATTGGGGGCTTGCTTACAGTTTCAGAGGTCTACATCCATTGTCATCATGGTGGAGTGCATGGCGAAATACAGCAGACATAGTGTTGAGAAGTAGCTGAGGGTTCAACTTCTGGATTGGAAGGCAGCGGGAAGAGAGAGAACCACTGGGTCTGATGTAGGTTTTTGAAACCTCAAACCCCACCCCCAGTGACATACTCTCTCCAATAAGGCCACTTCTCCTAATCCTTTCAAATAGTGACACTCCCTAACCATTTAAATGCATGAGCCTGTGTAGACTATTCTTACTCAAACCACCACACTGACTCAACAAAACCAAAGTAAACCCTGGGTGTGTAGATACATGGCTGTAATTCTAATGATTGGGTATGTGGAAACAAGAAGATCATCATCTTCCAGTATACAGAGGATTCAGAGTCAGCCACAGCTATATGAGATCCCCTACCTCAGAACACTGTGAAATAAAAAACAAAAGATGACAGGACTTGGTTCAGATTTCATGCTCATTTCACTTACAAGCTCTGAGATCTTGGGCAAGTTGCTTATCTGAGCCTGGATTTTTTTTCATCCATTAAATGGAGACTAACACTGATTTTTGTACTGTGGGTGAAAAGATAAAATAGCTTGTTCTTTCCTCACATAATGGCAAGCATTAACAATGCTGCAGTATAAGACCTGATGAGACCAAGAAGTTAGGACACAGCACTAGGTAGAAGAGATACAATGATGAGTTTCATTTGATCCCCAGCACTAAAGAGAGGGGAGGAAGAGGGTAGGGTAGACTGTGAGAGATGGTCTCATATAGTAGCCTAGACTGGTCTTGAATTCCCCATGTGGCCAAGTGTTAGTCATTGTTCTATTGCTGTAAAAAGACATCACGACCAAGCCAGTTCTTAAAAAGGAAAGCATTTAATTGGAGGCTTACTTACAGTTTCAGAGGCTTAGTCCATTATCATCATGGCAGGGAGCATGGTGGCCTGCATGGCATTGGAGCAGTAGCTAAAAGCTTCATTCTGATCTACAGGCTGCAGGAAAAGTGAGAACTGGGCCTGGCATGGGCTGTTGAAACCTCAAAACCCACCCCTACAGCAACACACTTTTTCCAACAAGGCCACATCCTCCTACTCCTTCTCAAATAGTGCTACTCTCTGATGACTAAGCATTCAAATATATGGGCCTATGGGGACCATTGGTAGTCAACCACCACACTGAAGATGACCTTAGATTCCTAATCCCTAATCCTAGAATCTCTACCTCTCAAGTGCTGGGATTACAGATGTGTACACCATGCCATGCTTGAGAGAGTTTTGGATACAAAATTTAAAGTATGGAGACTGGAAAGATGACTTCCCAGTTAAAAGTGCTTACTCCTCTTACAGAGAGCTTGGGTTTGGTTCACCATATAGCAGCTCACAGTCATCTGTAACTCCAGTTCCAGGGCATCTGATGCCTCTGTGACCACCTTGGGCTCCTGCGTGCATATAATAAATATATATACACACACATAAAATGAAATAAATAAATTTATGTATTTATTGTGTGTGCACATGTGCTCAAGCATGACACTGTACACATGTTGGGAACGTCAGAGGAAAACGTGTAGGAGTCATTTTCTTCTTCCCAAGAATCAAACACATATCATCAAGCTTGCTGGCAAGAGCCATTACCTACTAAGCCAGCTTGTCAGTCAAAACTTTTATATCTCCAGTTCCTAGATGAGGGTATAGGTATGGGAAACACTTTAGAATTAGTTGAATAAGTGAATATTGGGGAATGCCTTGAGTTGGCTAGTGAAATCTCCTATAAGCCTACCTTCTCTCCTTTTAACTTGATCCATTAGCCTGTCTCCTCCAGATGGAGCCAGTGAACTATGAACGAGTGAGGGAATACAGTCAGAAAGTCCTAGAACGACAACCTGATAATGCCAAGGCCTTGTATCGGGCTGGAGTAGCCTTCTTCCATCTGCAGGACTATGACCAGGCTCGGCACTACCTGCTGGCTGCTGTCAATAAGCAACCTAAAGGTGAGTGAGAGGGACATTAAGGTGGTGAGCGTATATAAAATTGTTCTGTTGTTAGTATAAACAAATGATCAGTGTTTAAGGAGATGACAGCACTAATTGCTGTGCTCTGACATTACACACTGTATATGTCATATATTGAATTATAGCCAGTATTCCTGTTAATATGTACAGCTATTACAAATAAACAGAAAAAAAAATCTTAAAGAAAAAGAAGAAGTCGAGCAATAGTGACGCATGCCTTTAATCTTTAATCCCAGCATTTGGGAGGCAGACACAGGTGGATCTCTGTGAGTTAGGCCAGCCTGGTCTACAAGATCTAGTTCCAGGACAGGTTCCAAAGCTACAGAGAAATCCTGTCTTGAAAAACCAAAAAGAAAAAAAAAAAAAAAAGGAAAAAAAAAAGAGGTGGGAATGAATATATACAGCTTAGTTGGCTTAGTTGGTAGGCATGCACAAAGCTCCAGGTTCAGTCCCCAGCATTGCATAAAAGCATACATAGTGGTGCAAATGCCTGTGATCTCAGCACTTGGGAGGTAGAAGCAAGAGGGTCAGAGTTCAAGGTTAGTGAGTCTGAAGATGATCTGTTTATGATGGGTGGTGGCGGTGCACATTTTTGATCTTAGCACTCAGGCAGAGGCAGGTGGATCTCTGACTTCAAGCCCAGCCTGATCTACAGATCAAGTTTCAGGACAGCTAGGGCTACACAGAGAAACCCTGTCTTGAAAAACAAAGAATCTATTCCATTGAAGTCGTACCCATTGAAGGGAAATTTATTTAATGTTTTCAGGGTTTTTTTGTTTTGCTTTGTTTTGTTTTTTAAGACAGGGTTTCTCTGTAGCTTTGGAGCCTGTCCTGGAACTTGTTCTTGTAGATCAGGCTGGCCTTGAATTCACAGAGATCTGCCTGCCTCTGCCTCCCCTAGAGTTCTAGGATAGCCATGGTTACACAGAGAAAACCTGTCTTGAAAAACCAAAAAAGAAAGAAGAAAGAAAGAAAGAAAGAAAGAAAGAAAGAAAGAAAGAAAGAAAG